TCGAAAACACTGCATTAGGGGCCACATGTATATATATATATATGCCTCTACCTATTACTGTATCCATCCAGTAGCCTTGGATAGGCCGAGGAGATGGAGACCACTCGTGCTGGTCAAGTGGTTGCCTAAGTGCTTTGGGTTCTTGGGTTTGGCTGGCTACCTGAAAGGACAAGGTGTAGCGGCGCAATGCTTTCTGCAATTGTCCGCGGATTGTGACAGCATTGAGCGCCCTAAATGCACAAGCATCCTGCTGCAGCTGCAAGGCAAGGGTGCGGCTATGTGCTAAGTTTCATGTAGTTTCCACGCGTTTTATCCACTACACTGCTACAGCTCAATTCGCAAAAACGAGGGGGATACCCGTGTTATTGAGCTTCGGAGGCTTAAGATTGCAACGCCGATTCAGCATGGAGGAACTGTATGAACGGATGATCCAGCTGCCCACAATCAAACCTCCTGGAGAGAAGCATGTATATAGGTAGCGATTCAGTGATCAACATTTGCCTTGAAGAGCCGGCAGACAACATGTGACAAACGCTTGGTTTGCCGCCTTCAGCCTTCGGCTCAAGACACTTCCGAGGTTGAGGGCTACAAGATGACTCTGGGATGTTCAACAAACTCCATGTTTGCCTGCGATGCTGCAGCCCCATGGCTACCCTTCCATGCTGCATTGTTTGCTTTGCGGCAGTGTATGCATACCTCAAAAATAAGCATATTCACAACTATACTGTAACTATTTTAGCACCCATTGACAGGCTTATGCAGCTTCCTGTGGCTCCAATGTGCCATGGAGCTCAGACCGACTGGCCACGCTTATCCCGCACATGTAGGTATTTTGCCTCAGCAGCTTGGGCATCTCCGAATGCGAGGGCCTTTTGCCATCCACTTTGGGACCTTTGTAAGGTGCATAAGCATCATGAGCTGCTTCCTCACTGCACGCCTCACTTTGCCCGCTTTGCGCAACGGTTTCCGCCGGAAAGCTGTGGTGGAAAATGATGAGCATTGCCAGGCAGTGAATGCTTGGCTGAATGACTTCGTCATCGGTCGTGACTTCTGTCCTTGGGCCAAGCCAGCCCAGAAGCGGAAACATGTTCGGATTGTGACCAGCACTGGAGTTGATCCCGAAGATGTCTTGGAAGACTTGCTTGATGAGGCAGAAGCGTTGCCAGAGAAATCTGCTTGCAGAAAAGGCGAGAAGACGACAACTTTGCTGGTATGCCCACATGTCAAAGAGTGGGAAGACTATGGCCCTTTTCGAGACTTCTACGAGGAAGACTTGGAAGCGGGAGATACCTTTGTGCATGAGTTCAACATGAAAATCATTGCATTTCATCCTAAATTTTTAAAATACGGCTTCTCAGTAGAAGCTGGGGATAGGATTGCCATCGCAAGAGCTGATGGTACATCTTGCAGTGCTACTGTGCTAGATGAAGAGGGCGGCATCCATCCTGATGATGAAGAAGAGCTTCTGAGCATTAGGTTGGACCATGGCCAAGATTTGCTGGTGCGATACAGTGCTATCATCACAAAGCTGGGCAGAACAGAACAAGGAGAAGAGGTACCCGCAAATGATGGCACTGGTGATGCTGCTAACCTGTCACCCGACTTGATATTCAGTCCTTTGCGCTTCCACGTCTTAAGTATGTGTACCAGTGACATGCAGTGGTCGAGCCATGTCATGTCAGGATGCACATGTGCTTGGACTATTTTGGCTAGGTCAGGTAAAGGCAAACCAAGGTGTTTGCTGAACACGGTTTTATCATGTTGGGGGCCAGATCTCTTCTTGCTATTCAACGTTGTTGAAGTTTAGCAATTGGATGAATGAGTAGTTTTAAGGATCTCTACTCAACAGAGTGTAAATCAGCTTGTGAGCCTGAACCAATTGATGCTTCTAGAAGTCTAGTTCGTTGGCCTGGGGCTTGTGAAGTTGTGCCGTGCTTGGCGTCCTGCGTCTTCCAAGGTTGAGCAGAGCCCCCCGCCCAACTCTACATTTGCTACGTATGGAGGATCTGCAGGCTGCCAGTTCCGCCTCCAAAGCCGGAACTGGTCCGAACATTAAGCAAGTTCTAGAAGCCAATGCAGAGAGAGCTAGCTCAATCAGCCTCGAGTATATGGCCGACATGCTGGGCGAGTATGGCTGAACGCATGATGTGTGGTCAAACAGAATTGGACAACTGCCTTCGATCCATGACCAACACCCTGACAGAAGTGACACACAAGAAAGCCAAACAAAGCAAGTACGGGAAGAATATTGGAGAATGGAAACTGTCCAGCATTATGACTTTGAATTGAAAGCAAATCAAGTAGCTTTGGTCAGCTGTGGATGTACACCTGGGGTTTAACTTGGCTTCGGCTCGAGTCAAATTTTTCGCACTGCGTCAGAACATGTAAGAAACACACATTATATATATATATACAACATGTAGGTACATCAGCGATTCGCTCCAAGAAGCTTGAACAAGGCTGCCCATGTGAGATTCCCAAACGATATTTTTCTTGAGAACAGTCTTTTGCGATACGCCGCAATCTCACCAAGCAACTACGCGTCTTGGTCCTGAAGTCCAGCCTCCTTTGATTGAATAATTTTTATGACGAATTATAAGCGTTGGAAATGATCAGACATCAGTTGATCAAATAAAATATGATACCCCAACAAAGGAGCACTAAAGAATACCAAGCCAAACAGACACACTTCGCCCGTTGATTCTGAACCTCATATACAATTTTCATTCAGCCATGGTCAGCCGTTTTTGACTACTGCATCGCGCAATTACAGTCTAGACCTGTTGATAGCAGCGACAATGGATGAGTTTGATGAGCCGGTGGCACACCTGGAGCAGCCGCTGACAGACGATGTCAAGAGCAGCGAGCCCGTTTTTTGGGGAAAGAAATGGCATGAAGGCACCCAAGTTTCAGGAACTAATATATATATATATATATCAGTACATATATATAGAGAGAGAGACAGATAGGGCAGTGCTGCACACCAGAATAACATTGAGATTTGAACGCAGCTTAAGAACTGTTCGAGACCATTTCTCGAATTGCCAGAGAATGTGCCCCAGAGCCAAGACGAGTTGTTGCTGTTCGGCTTGGGTTGTTGGTTCAACATGCGGGGGCCGCAGGTGGCTTCGAAAAGAACGTTATTCATTTTGATAAGACGGCAAAGGTCATGAGTGGCCTGGCCTTTCAGTGTCTCAGTGATTGGTCGCTTTGCTTGTTTGGAACCCCTTGAGAGAAGGGGGGTGCTGTTGCATTCCTGCTGTGATTAAGAACGGTTTACTCAGTGACGCATGTGAGTTGCTTCATGGGACTCAAAAAGTCCAGTATACAATCAATAGATGCAATTCTGGCATACTTTGACTCGGACTCGGACTCTCACACTCGGAGCTATGGTTAATTACGTCCAAATGATGTCCCTGCAGACCTGAGGAGACATTTTTGATGCCACCCAGGGCTTCCAGAAGGAGTTGGGTTCTCGCTACACATTTCTGGACATTGCCTGTGCTCCAGGTAGGAGGTCGCACTCCAGTCATTTGAGGTGTAACAATGAGTTGTCCCGGTGCACTTGTCGTAGCTCAATGAGTTGTTGTGAGTTTATTGAAATGGCCATCCCAGAAGCAGCCAGAAGCACCCAGAAGCCAATCTAGTTAAGTTAATCCAAGCTGAGTACGTAATCTAAGCGCCACAGAGGTTCCACCTTTTCCAGATCACCGGGGCACATAAATGATCATAAATGTATATAAATCTATATTCAAGGGGGGTGTACCTCCCCTCTCAATATATATATATATATATACATATTTCTCGGTCTCAGGGTCTCCAGATGTCATTCTCGGGGAAGTGATTGTAATTACAATTCCAATTAAATTCTTATTGTTACTAGTAGTAAGGCACTTGTTCCTACTAGCGTGGCACTTGTTACTTGTAAGTTTCATGCGATATGATGATTGTGGATGTCCCCGCCCCCTGTCATTGAAAAAAGTATGCTTCCTCAGGGCGGCTTCCCCCGTTGCTGTCATACATTATCCGGAAAATCAGCTTCCACAATTTTCATTGATTTGCAGACAATTGTGCCATGGGTTCATGCAATGGCCGCAAATACACCAAACATGTAGCAGTGCATAGGTGAGTGCGTCCGCCCCGTGCATATTCAGGTCTTGAGCCACCCCCTGCCTTTCATACATATCCCTGTCCCTGAGGCGGTGTTTCCAGAAACACGGAGGGAACAAGAACAATGTATATTTTGTATTGAGAGATGTGTCCTTTTTCTCGATGTCAACCCCTCGTGTTCGAAATGCCTTCTCAACACCTGTCGCCCCATTTGCATACATTAGCAGAAATGCATGAAACCACCCCCCCTTTGTGGAGATAGACCCGGTGATTGTTCCAGCGTGATCCAGAGTGCCCTTGAGGTGGCTTCTCACGATTTCTTTGTAGTGATTCCCGCTGTCAAAAAGGCTGGGGGATCAGTTTGCCAGCCACTAGGCCATGAACATATTATCACACACCTTTTGTTTTAGATTGTTTAAGTTTCGTCATGTGTGGCTTCCCAGCCATAGTTGTAAACCTCATGTTTGGTATAGCAACACTTGTCAGATGGTAGATTGTGGAAGGGTCGGGAAATAGAAAGAAACCACTAGGCATATGTATATACAGTATACAGTACGTGTTTTGAACCCTCCAGCTTTTGGCCACATTGTACTTTGTCCTGAGGTTACTGAAGGTGGCTTCAGACTGTTGTTCACATGGACTCACGCAGACGAACGGATGCTTGCTTTGGACTTGGAGGTCTTTGAGATCACGCATCACTATCAAAGTCCTGACAGAAGTTGTTGACCACGTGTAGTATATAGTTCATCCATTTCAAACATGGCAATTGAACTTTCAGAGTATTTTGCTTGCTTGAGGGCCAGCACATGGACTTTCAGTATTGCCAGAGCAGTGCGCTCACAAAGTGCAAAGTGTTCTCGCTCAGGAAGTTTCAAGTGAAGTTCAGAGATATGTTGACACTCGAGCCAGAGGATTGCTGCGTGCCTTGGCATCCTCATGGAGTGTGTGCAACAAGTGTCTTGGCAACAGCAAGAGAGGCTACTTTGTTGCCAGCCGAGGAGCATCAGGTTGATTTGGTGATTTCTGATGCCCAATATCTACCTTTGAGGAAAGCCGATCAACCGGGACCGGATCCAGCCTTGGAGACTCAGAAGCACGGCCAGACTTGGCTCTTATGGATGCAGCCCTCAACATGTTGGGCCAACAGGGGGTTTTCCTCGCTCCTCGTTGTTGCAGACCTTGTAGCTTCATTGTCGCCGAGAGTGCACGCCATCATTGATTTAAAAAAGAAACAAAACACATCCGCTGTTTTGAATATTGTCGTAACATTGTCGCCGAGTTCGACAAACAAGACTTTCTCTTTGGAAGTCGCCATCACAGGACCTACAGGATCTCTTTTTTCTCATGGATCCTGGGAGCGTCTTGAAACGTCTCAAATTTGTGCAGCTTTAAGAGGCTGATTCGTGATACCAGGGCGCTAATGTAAAACATGTTAAGATGCATGGGTCTTGCACCATGGGTGCGGGGCAGGCCCCACCGTTCACCCAACATGTTGACATGTAACATGTTGACACATGTGCATGTTGACTTAAGATTGAATGGAACGGATGGAAAGACACTCATGATATGCAAACATCCACAACTCTAGATAACCTGTCACTGTTGGTCCCTTGCACTTTTTCTTGTGACCATGCATAAACTTCTAGCTCAGGCAAAGTCTCAAAGCGTGAATCCTGCTTTAGGCTGGGCATGACGGATGTGTCTTAGGCCATTCCGCATTCTTTTGGGCGGTACTTTTGAGCCCTTGTTACAGACTGCATCCGTGAAGAATGTCCAGTGCAGTGCTGAGCATATCCTGGTATGGTATTCATTGGCATTCTCAACTGCATGACCTCGGCGAAGAGATTCCGCTGGAGGTTTGACTGCTTGGTTTTCGTCATGAATCCTTGTCCGCTGGAGGTATTTGGGCCTTACTTTTCCAGCAGCTTCGGCTTGGCCTTTGCAATTTGAGACTCTTGTATGCTTTTATGTGGGTTTGCATGTTCCACCTCCATGTGCAATGTGATAGAAGATGTATATTGTTGTTGTACATAAGATTGTTCGATGTTGGTTGCATATTTTGCTCCAACAGATCCGCCGGTGCTTAAACTTGCGTTCGCATGATGCTTTTGATCCGATGTACCCAAGGAAATGGTGGAGTGATGATGTTTCGGTTGAACTGCAGCGTGGCCATTGTCTTTACATGTCTCTTTAGGATTGTTCAATTCTTGTTTTGGCTTGTGTATCTCCCAGACGCTTCCCAGACATGTCTTGTTGATTCTTGTTGCAACGATGATGGCCACATCAATGAAGCAGGATATCAGACAGATAGTCCCTTGAGATGTAACATATACAAGTACATCCTTGGTTTTGTTTATTTCTTCAGATCTTTCCCACCGGGCGTTCAAAGGCAAAGATGGAAATGTCGACTGGTATTTTGACTCTGTTTGTCAAGTCTTGGCGATGGTCGACCGCGTCTTCGAGTCGATGGTGCTTTTCAAGTCGGGCAAGTCTCATCAAAGCGATGGAACTGCCTACATCATTTGTCGAGGTTTTTGCCGGTGTGAATTTGAAGCCATGCAAGGGTCTGAGATCCTGCGGAAATCAATCATGGTCTCCAGATACTTTGCCAACAGTTGCAACTCTTTTCTTGTAGACTCATGGCTTGGGCCATATACTGTAATTCAATTTGTCCATGACATGTTTCATTGGCGCGTTGTTTGTCCTTTCGGGGGCGCAGCAGCAGAGGATACGAGCTTGAGGTGGCTGCACTGGGGACTTCGCCAATGTTTCGTCGGATCACAGCAAGTAGAGAAGCTAAGCTGCTGAGTTATTCAGTAAATCTTCATCATCTTGACATCTATATAATCTTTGGCCAGTAGTTCCATCTCGGGTTTGCCCAACAGTTGTCACAGAGGAAGTGCGCGCAAGAACCCGGGAGCTTTTCTCCTTGGTGGATGATGCCATTGCCAGATACAAAGACCAAGCAAGCTTCAGCTATGCCTCCACTGTCAAGGAATGGCGCTGTGCAAGATCAGTTCCATCACTTCGACGCAAAGTTCGGAGCACCATGGGGTCGGTGATGCCCATGGTCGCCAGCAGGCTTGCAGTGAAGCAACTAGAGGATGCAGCTCAAGATATGGAGGACTTGAGCAAAACCTTTGGTGTCCAGGCTTGAGATTTGTAGTTTGCAATCTATTATGTCGGATACCTGGGGGCCTTTGTGGCCGGCCGGTCGTCCACCTGCCATGTCTTTTGTGCAGTTTGTGCCATTTGAGGCGATGAAGCCTCCTTGAGATGCCAAGAAGCCATGAAGAAGCTGAAGGCTAGAGCCAAAGAAATTCAAAATGTCATCCAAGCAGCGCAGCAGACATCCACCGAAGAGATCGAAGCAGAGACTTTTGAAGCAAGTCCTTTGCCTGATCTATACTGATTTACATTTATATAAATATATACATTTTATATACCAGGGTTTGTTTGCGCATGCGATTCTGTTTTCTTCTCGTCAACAGTTTGCTTTGTATGGGTGTTGGGTCCTGAATGGGGCACATTCGGACTCATGAGTTGAGGTGTTTTTGACGATGGATGGGCACGCACCACTGAACCTGAACCTGCCTCAAGTGAATACTTGCATGTAACTGGCCTTCTTCAAGGAATTGAGGACAGCCGCGTGACTCAGAGTCATACCAGAAGCCTCTTGGGTGCTTTATCAACCAATATAGAAACAAGAAACTGTGTGCTGACCAGTAGTGGTTGTAGACGAGAATCAGTAGTGGTTGTAGGGCTTCCGATTGTCCACCTGGAGTGGTATGAGTAGGGTGCATGTTGTGGTTTATGTTTTGGGATGGGGAGTGGTTGCGTTCCCCCATCCAGGAGACAACACTTCAAAGGTGCTTCAGCCGAGCTGGCAAAGTGGCTGAGATCCGTTTCCTCCCACAGGTCGGCTTGCAACTCGTGTTTGCACATGATATAGATCAGCATGTTCATGTTCACGCTGATGGTACTTCTATGTACCTCTCATGCTTCTTCTTACCAAATGCCCTGAACATCCTGAACCAGATGAAGTTTTTGGTTGCCTTAGCAGGCCAGCTTCTGAACTCATGTCTAGATCATGCTAGAGCAGTGCCTGACTTTTGGAATTGGTGTGCCTAGACTGCATGCACCGTGTTGATTTTTCTATGGTCGTTCCTGTGGTTTGCGTCGTGTTGTTTGACCGGAGACGCCGGAGACGGGTTTTACTGCTGCAAAGCACCACCAACATCAAGGCGTTGCGAGGGGTGCAAGGACTGGCAAAGAGATATTTCTTATATATACTAGATTATATTTGGATATATATTGGGTAAATGCCTGATAAACCCGGCCATACTCGGACCGCCCCGCTTTAGTAAACCTTGATTAACAATTCAACTCAAAGATGGACTTGCTCGAGATACAACGGTGCGCCAAGTAACATTTGGACATGCGATGATCACTCATCACATAACTGATTACACACGTCCTTCCTACTTTTGTTGCCCAGTTTGCATCCAAATGCGGGTCGGTTGGACGAGTATCAGGACCAAGCCATGGGATCAAGATGTGCTGCCTTAGTGTCTCAGCTGAGATTTACAAAGCTTGTTAGGGCAAAGTCAACTGCCGCAGAGCAGTGTCTTTTGCCAGCACATGGCTGGGAATGGCTCAATAGGAGAAGATACTCTCCCACTCACTAATCTGGACGTGGAAAACCCCTGTTCCTACCACTACTCAATTGCCCCAAGCTACTCCACGACATGGGCCTAGGTGAAGATGTCAAGCCTTGAAGATAGCAAAGCCGCCCGTGAGAAGCTGGACGGAGTCATTCCAGAAGGGACAGGCCACTTGAATTTGAGGACTTGTGGACGCTAAGCCAACCAACATTCAGATTAAGTATAGATGAAAACGGCAAGTGTGGGCGGCGACTACGCAGTGGTGGAACATGCCTGTTATTCACTCAATGAACATTAGCAGGTTGGGTGACGTGCCTTCCCTTTGGCCCATTGGGTTCAGAGAATGGTGGGCGGAGATACGCGGAGGGCTTGTATATCAGGTGGAAGAAAGTGTGTCTTCTTACTGGGTCTTATAGCATCTATGTGGATCAGCCGCAGTCGAATTAATAAGTCCATTCCCTGTGATTTGTGTGCGACAATTTTCATCAATTTTCACCTTTAGTTCAATCTACAACCACTAAGGAGCTTTGGAGGGAGGATTCGACCGTGCGAGATGATATATATATATATACAGTGATCCTCTTGAAGAATTCTACCAAAAAGAAACAGGTTTTGACGTTGGAACCTTAAATAAGAAAAGCTTTTGTCCCTGTGGTCAATATTGTATGGTCCAGACCCAGGACTGGCAAACTTCTGCAGTGGTTTTAAAACCGTCAAAACCAAGGCTTTGAAATGGAGCGTAACCTCATGATCACCTTCCAGGCTCGCATGGGCCAATGGGCAGTCCCATATGAGAGCGATTTCTTTGTTTCTTCCTTCAAACAGGTGAAGAATGGTGTTCAAGTTTGTGATCACCTTTTCGTGCGGGGCATCCCATCAGCTGTTCAGAAACATCAGATTGCCTCCTTATTCAACCGTTTTGGCCAAGTTCTTTGGAGCATCTCGTCCGCATTTCATAAATCGTCAACTTGTTTCCAGCGTTGTCAGTTGCACTGCAAACCATATTGCTGAATGCCAAGCTGCCAAGATGCTCTTTGCCCACTTGCGTGATGTTAGGATTCAAAATCAATCACTCGCCATTTAGACACCAAGTCCATTCAACACAACCGGAGTCACCCACTTGCAGGCACCATTTTACCACCCCGCATCGGCGAAGATGATCGCTGTGCTTTGGTTCAGATGGCCAGCAGCGACGAGGCCCAGAACGCCATCCAGGCATTGAACTGGACCAGCTCATCAGCACCTTGGAGCGAGTTGATACACGTAGGTCACCATGGACATGGGCATGTTGGCCACATGCTACATTAGGGGATACGGGGTTTGTTGCGGGCCTTTCCTGTCCTTTTTAACCTATACAATATCATACAATATCTAATTATACAATATGTTCTTGTTTTATATAGCCTTCAAAGGACCGTATTGGAGCCTCGAGGCCTCGCCATAGCCGCCGTAGCTGCAGGCCTTGATGCCAGCGATGATGGTTCGATATGCTGGTCCAAAGGTCTTTGTGGCTCTTCAGCGCACTGAGGGAATCCATGAGGAAGGTGCTCAACTCAGGGGTGGTTCAGTGTTGTTCACAAGTGACAAGAGAAAGATGGCCCTATTGCTCACCTTCATGGTTTCCACCATTGTCCACCAATATGAATTCTGCCCACCGGCCAGGTGAAGAAGGATCCGAAGAGGATGAGGATTTTGCTCACTATGGAGTGATTGAAGAAGCGCCAAAGCCTGCGTTCCAACCTTTGAAGGAAAGACCCCATGATTTGGGATCCAGATGGAAGAAAGCAGAAGAATCTGGACCAAAGCCTGGTAATTCTTTGATTCATCCCAAACCTCAAAATCACATACTGTACTTTTTTCTTCAGTGTCATGTTCATCCATAAATGTATATGACTATATTATGAATAGATAAACACACACATATATATATATATAGATATGTTGACATATATTGTTTAGTCATGTGTCATTTCCTCCCAGAAGTTCCTGAATTGGAAGCACCTTTTGTGCATTAAGGAGGAGGAGTGGGATGGACCGGAGGGTACAAGGCTTTGGGGTTGGGCGATGCAGCCTGTGAAAGAGCAGGAAGAGTTCCCAGAGCTCCCCAGCGAGACCCAGGACTGTCAGTGCGTTTGTGAAGTAAGATGCAGTGTGCCAATGTGCATCAATTGCGAAATGCATGTCGACGTGATTCATCGCTAAATACGCAGACTTGAACACTCTTGACTGACCTGGAACTGGAGATTTCCAACGGAGCATTCTCCGCCCGGCTTTCGAGTTAGGGTGTAACACTTTTGCATAGACATAGATGTGGGGTTCCAGGTGCCACACCGTGTTGAATTGCTTTCCCTGATTGGAGGTCCATGCTGAAGACTTGACTGAGTCACGGGAAGTGGAATCTTGGGAAGAACTTGGCGAGACTGAGCCCTGCGAGGTCCTTTGCATGAGGAATCCGCCTTCTGGTCTGCCTGATTCAGTGCCTTTGCGCCAGAAAGTGTTGTTTGACCAGTTGAACCAGCCGTTTGACGTGCAACAACCCCTTGCCTCGCTTTTTAATGTGTTTTCCACTTGCGACACATCATGAGGTCATGCAGATGTGGTTCAAACCCTATGGACACGTGGTGGACATGCGACCGATGGATATGGAAGCTGATGATGACTCCTTGGCATTCATCGTGCAGATGTCATGCAAAGAAGAGGCTATCAACGCCTTTGACGCACTCAACGGAAAGTCCATCATGCGAGGCAGCCATCATGTTGGGAAACCCTGCCGTGTTATCACGCAACAAATGCCGCAAGATGTTGTGATCCCATTGTTTGAGATTGTTTCAGTATTGTTTGCTTTATTCTTGGAAAGGTCGGCCACTGAACCTCAGCTATTGGCACGGCGCAGCAGAGAAGACTGGAGCTTTGGACCGTGGACGGCTGTTAGCAGCAGCACGGCAGCTAGCATTCCAGAAGAAGGAGGCTTTTGCTGCTTGGCGTGTTGAGCTAGATGGGGCCAATGGGACGGGATCCGATTGTCACGGTAATTCTTTTCAGTGTTGATCATCAGTTTCCTCTTTCAAGTGTAAAGTTGTTCATGTGAGCCGCATGGCATTACCAAATGTTGGCAAACATGTGGGGGGCGATAGGTAACCTGTAAGAGCGCTACCCTCAGAAGTATATTGTGCATGTGGTAGAGAAGAAACTGTAGGCTCCGTAGCAAAGCGATGCTGCAGATCTAAAACTCTAAGAGCACATATAGTTTTTTTTCATTTGGGGAAGCCTTGCATCTTGAAAATTGAAGCATCCTCTCGATTTCGACGTTGCTTCTGGTGTTGGAACTTGTGTAACATGACTGGATGTTTGATTGGGACTGTGTGGAGTGATAGATAAACCTGGCAAGTGATGCGCTTGCTGCACATAGCCATGTCCCACGGAAGAAGTTTTGACCATTGCACATTTGAAGAGAGCACTGGGAGTCTTCCAGGTAGCTGCAGAAAGTGAGGCAGTGAAGGAGGAATTAGAGGCAAACATCTCACACGTTCTTTGCTTGAGAGACCCTCCCGACTTTCCAGAATCGGCTTCTTGGCTTGCAATGAATTGCCTGGGAATCTTGAAGCTACTTGTTTCATGTGCATTTTGAAGCTGGTGCTGACGATAAGCTTGTATACGGTTTTGTGATCAACAAGCGGCTGTGACACTAGGGAAGCTGTCGTGAATTGAGATAGATGCTTCCTTTTGGCAAAGCGAATGGGTGCCTCGCAGGTCATGAGAGTTTGGTTTGCACCCTACGGGCAGATGGTGGAAATGAGACGACTGGAAGACGCGGACACTTCTAGAGCCTTTTTGGTGCAACTTGTTGATACCAATGCAATAAATTGTGTTTGTTTTGTTCCTGAGTGGGCCTTTAGGTTGTGGTTGTTGTTGTTGCTGCTGCCCGTGAGCGGCACGTAAGGAAAATGTCCAATGAAGATGAGGCCGCTGCAGCATTCCACGCTCTTAACAGCAAGTGCATCACAGGTGCCTAGGCCATGATTGACTCTGCCGCTTGCTCCGCTTTTGATTGAAAGGAGCACCGTGAATCCAAAGCAACGGGTTTGTAGAGGCAATGATCCTGGCTTGACCGCTGAACAACTAATGTCCACCTCTTTAGTATTGGTAGTGTTGGCCTTACTTTTGTGGAACTACATGCATTTAAGTTAGAGATTAGCAAGGCACCCAATGGGTAGCATTCTTCAGGAAAACAAGCAGAAAAGGACCAGGAATGAAGAAAAAGAGGAATCCAGCGCACCAAATCCAGGTCCAGTGGAAAAAGAAACATTAGTTTTTTTTTCAGGGTGTATTTAATTTACTAATCGTAGGTTGACAGTAGTTACAGTAATTCCATGATCGTTCTGATGATCATGCGAGCGAACTGATCAGGGAAGAAACTTGATATCAGCTACTGGCATGGCGAGGGAAGGGGCGATCCTGTACATCAGAGGCCTCCGGAAGTAATGCCGGAGAAGGTGAGGCCGACCAAAGGCTTGTGACTGTGCCACTTGTTTGTAAGGTGTCCAAAGGCTAAGGTGGTTGGTCTAGGTATTGTACACTTGGGCCAGATCTTCTACTTTTCTTGAGTTTGCTGGTTTTGTTGCAGGCGAACGGTCACGTCCCTGGTCCTGGCGTTGGAATTGATAACCAACAGTTGCTGGAGGCTTGTAAGGTTGCTTTACAGGCAAGATCTCGAAGGCTACAATCTGGAGATGACCAAGTTGCTCCCAAAGGTGACCACACTTGATTTTGTTTCGTTTTTGATGGTGCGTTACAGCCGAATGCTTAAAATACAACTGGTGATGGTGGTCAGTGGTTGCACTAAACGTTCCATAACCAAAGCATCCTCTCCACGTAGAGAGTTCCTCAGATTGTATGAACCCCTTGCACAACCTACGAACATCGCACCGCGGCCTGAAGCTGTCAAATGTTTTTTGTTGCTGCTTGCTGTTCTTATTTCATTTTGAGTGTTCCTTTAAAGATTTTACAGAAGTCGTGTTCCAACGGCAGCAGGTTACAACATGTTTTTTCAAAATCACTCAGATTGTTTGACGGTGTTGTCCATCCCATCCTTAAGGTGATGTTGAGTCCTGGGAGGACTTGGATGAGGAAGACGTCGATGATGGGCCAACTGATTCTCTTTGTGTGAGTGGAGTTCCGCCCGGGATCCAGGAGATGGTGATGCAGTTGCTTCTGTCAAATTAGGCTCAATTTGAGAGTCAATGAGCACAAAAGCAATATGGTACTGCTTTCATGTTCTCATTGTTGACTAGCACAGTACTCACACATACGAATAGGATTTCCACCCCGGGACACGTTGGAATCATGCTTGCCAACCTTTGACAAGGTTCTGGTTCAAGCCCTACGGGCGAGTTCAAGAACTGCGACCTTTGTCTTCCGCCGAAGTGAGTGATGGAAAGCCTGCCTTCTTGGTAAGAATGGGCGATGTGAAGGAGGCCACTGCCGCAATGTCCAAATTGGATGGCAAGCCAATAATGAAAGGCTCACCTCTCGTCGTTCGGTACTGGCACGGCAGGTAAGTGCGCAGGCTTGGATCGTGCTTCCGTTGTACAAAGAGAATCAGTAGGAAGCATGAGGTTCAGAGCGTCGAGTGTGCTTCCATATGGCTGTGAGTCAAGACCTGCGGACTCTAGCTGACCCTCCGAACATGAACAGAATGGACTGCTGGGCAGGTCAACCTGCAGTGGTTTCGGGGTCCAGATTTTCACCCACAGCCATATGATGCCACTCCAGATGCGTTTTGACCCGTCATTCTGCGCCAGATGGCGGGTCTCAAGGTCTCGAGGAAAGGGCGTGCGCTGACAGAGAAAGGACGTGTTCATGGGACAGGGCTGCTCAGGCTCACAATCACGCCCCCAATCGCTGAATGTCAATTTGCAGTTGAATTGTCAGGGATCTAATGCTTGTGCCAATGCCATTGCTGTTCTACAAGTCGGCTAGATGACGTTGGCTAATGATGCTAATTTGCACTAATCGAAGGGATTAAACGGTGAACTTGATTCAACAGTTCAAACAAATACTTCAGGAATTTGTCTGGAGCGTGGTGGGCTCGCACCAGCCCAGACGTTGGCCAGAAGGATCTGAGCAAAACCAGACAGCCTGCACATGTTCTGATTCCGATTGTGACCGAGGTGGCGCATGATGTAGCAGGTGAGAGCGCTCAAGAGACAGGAGCTGTGACGAGTTTGTTCGGAAGGGAAAAGCTCTTGCAAGGTCTTGAACATTAGCCATGAGGAATGGAGGATTTGGTTGATTAATTATCGTTGGTGTATTCATAGAACCCGACATACGCAGACAAGCGATGTGCCAGCAGGAAGCGAAATTGAGGATTCTACGGAGGCCCAACTAACTTGATGCACCTTGGGCGCGGAGGCGTTAGTTTCCTTTTTGTTGAGCTATTTGGAAAGATCAGTCACAAAGCGCAATTTGTTCCTTTCAGAGTTTGCAGAGGTTTTCCACTCACAAACTTGTTTGCCAGTGAGATTTGATTCGTGGATGATGCGTGCTGCTTGCCTTTGTGCATAGGCATGCCACGCATGAGGCATACATTGTTGTCATGCTTGAACCGCCTGGAACTTGCAATCAGCCTTGATTGCCTTCGATGCAGGTCTCAGATGACTGTGAGGAAGAGATCCGTGCCTCGGCTGTGTTCCAGACAATGTTGCTTTCCCTGTCACTACGGTGGATTGTACTTTTTTGGGGGCTTTGTTTGTGGCTTGTTGTAGTGGAACAGGCACAAATGGCATCACTGTTGCATTGCCAAGGTTCTTTGCTACCTGTAGACGTTCCTTCAGCCGCTATGCTGAGCTTGTCCATTCTAATTTTGCACTCTTGATGAGATTTGACCAGTACTTGGACGGCATTCCAGTACCCCAAAACTAAAAACTGCGTCACTCAGGCTGCAGAGACGGTCGCTGAAGACGGCAACTCAGACTGCAACTTGGCAGACAACAGCACCGATGACAATCGATGGGTTTCGAACATTGAGGCTGAGAGACTCTTCTAGAAACCAATTGAATTCGCGCTGTTTGCCGCACGGATTGCCTTCGATATCAAGGATCTTACAGACGTGCTCGAAATCAAGATTAACTTTATATATATATATGATGTATGTGATTTTTTTGTTTTACCTAGGCGTATGGGTCTCACAAGCACCCGCTGAGGAGGACTGGTTGGAATTGTGAAGCTTTGTGCTTGGGCTGCTTGGGGTTGTTGCTGCAAGCCAGGATCACGCAATGGACATCGCCGTTGATCAGGAAGGGCTCATTCTTTTTTTCAGACAGCTGTGAGTGGAATGCCCGAAGAATTGGACTTACCTTGTTTTTGGTTTCAGAAGATTCATAAGTTTTGCATAGTTTTGATTGGGATCTTGTGATGAAGTGATGCTGGGATATATACTGCAATACATGTTTAACTCATAATATAAGACAGTATAATAATGTATAATATAATAACTTGCTATAGTATAATATAGTATAAAGAAATATATATACTAGGTTCTGATGTCTTGGGACTTGTGGCCTCTAGTGAGAAAGGACTTCAGCCCAGAAGTCCTAGGTCATCTGAGTATTCACTGATTTGATTTTGCATATACATTTACATGACTTGGGAGTAGGGGACACATCGAACGCTTATGTCATAAGTTGCGTTGTCCACGCAGGTGCTGGTTTTCTTTTTTTATTTTTGGGCTTGGGAGGCTGGCACGGTCTTGAGCGGCATCTTACTTGAAGCTTGGGACTTGTGGGCTCTAGTGAAAAAGGACCTCGACATGAAAGTCCTAGCCAGCTCTTTCTTTTTCACGCCCTTGCTGTCTCTACGGTTGTTCCTTGCTGGGTTTTGTCTTCCAGCTGCTAACGCACCCAAGGTTTGTCTCACGACACACAACTGCACACAAAAACAAAGGTTAGCCTCAGGTTTTTATGAGGTGGTCTTGCACTAACCTGTTTTTGGCTTTGGTAAAGTGATGACTTGGGAGTTGCAGGACATGTTCATAGAGAGATGACATAGACCTTAGTGATTTCAGCATGCGTTTTACAACTCCTTAGTCACCAGAGCTCAGTATATATATATATATATAACGGTTGTTTCGTGGGATGCGAGGGTTGGGA